AATATTAATACAGTGTAGTGTTAGTACTTTTACTGTAACAGAGTATTAATACAGTGCAGTGTTAGTACTTTCACTGTAACAGAGTATTAATACAGTGCAGTGTTAGTACTTTCACTGTAACAGAGTATTAATACAGTGCAGTGTTAGTACTTTCACTGTAACAGAGTATTAATACAGTGTAGTGTTAGTACTTTTACTGTAACAGAGTATTAATACAGTGTAGTGTTAGTACTTTCACTGTAACAGAGTATTAATACAGTGTAGTGTTAGTACTTTCACTGTAACAGAGTATTAATACAGTGTAGTGTTAGTACTTTTACTGTAACAGAGTATTAATACAGTGTAGTGTTAGTACTTTCACTGTAACTGAATATTAATACAGTGTAGTGTTAGTACTTTCACTGTAACTGAATATTAATACAGTGTAGTGTTAGTACTTTCACTGTAACTGAATATTAATACAGTGTAGTGTTAGTACTTTTACTGTAACAGAGTAATAATACAGTGTAGTGTTAGTACTTTTACTGTAACTGAATATTAATACAGTGTAGTGTTAGTACTTTTACTGTAACTGAATATTAATACAGTGTAGTGTTAGTACTTTTACTATAACAGAGTATTAATACAGTGTAGTGTTAGTACTTTCACTGTAACAGAGTATTAATACAGTGTAGTGTTAGTACTTTCACTGTAACTGAATATTAATACAGTGTAGTGTTAGTACTTTTACTGTAACTGAATATTAATACAGTGTAGTGTTAGTACTTTCACTGTAACTGAGTATTAATACAGTGTAGTGTTAGTACTTTCACTGTAACAGAGTAATAATACAGTGTAGTGTTAGTACTTTTACTGTAACTGAATATTAATACAGTGTAGTGTTAGTACTTTCACTGTAACTGAATATTAATACAGTGTAGTGTTAGTACTTTTACTGTAACAGAGTATTAATACAGTGTAGTGTTAGTACTTTTACTGTAACAGAGTATTAATACAGTGTAGTGTTAGTACTTTTACTGTAACTGAATATTAATACAGTGTAGTGTTAGTACTTTTACTGTAACTGAATATTAATACAGTGTAGTGTTAGTACTTTTACTGTAACAGAGTATTAATACAGTGTAGTGTTAGTACTTTTACTGTAACAGAGTATTAATACAGTGTAGTGTTAGTACTTTCACTGTAACAGAGTATTAATACAGTGTAGTGTTAGTACTTTTACTGTAACAGAGTATTAATACAGTGTAGTGTTAGTACTTTTACTGTAACAGAGTATTAATACAGTGTAGTGTTAGTACTTTTACTGTAACAGAGTATTAATACAGTGTAGTGTTAGTACTTTTACTGTAACAGAGTATTAATACAGTGTAGTGTTAGTACTTTTACTGTAACAGAGTATTAATACAGTGTAGTGTTAGTACTTTCACTGTAACAGAGTATTAATACAGTGTAGTGTTAGTACTTTTACTGTAACTGAATATTAATACAGTGTAGTGTTAGTACTTTTACTGTAACTGAATATTAATACAGTGTAGTGTTAGTACTTTTACTGTAACTGAATATTAATACAGTGTAGTGTTAGTACTTTTACTGTAACAGAGTATTAATACAGTGTAGTGTTAGTACTTTCACTGTAACAGAGTATTAATACAGTGTAGTGTTAGTACTTTTACTGTAACTGAATATTAATACAGTGTAGTGTTAGTACTTTCACTGTAACTGAATATTAATACAGTGTAGTGTTAGTACTTTTACTGTAACTGAATATTAATACAGTGTAGTGTTAGTACTTTCACTGTAACTGAATATTAATACAGTGTAGTGTTAGTACTTTTACTGTAACTGAATATTAATACAGTGTAGTGTTAGTACTTTCACTGTAACTGAATATTAATACAGTGTAGTGTTAGTACTTTTACTGTAACAGAGTATTAATACAGTGTAGTGTTAGTACTTTCACTGTAACTGAATATTAATACAGTGTAGTGTTAGTACTTTTACTGTAACTGAATATTAATACAGTGTAGTGTTAGTACTTTTACTGTAACAGAGTATTAATACAGTGCAGTGTTAGTACTTTCACTGTAACAGAGTATTAATACAGTGCAGTGTTAGTACTTTCACTGTAACAGAGTATTAATACAGTGCAGTGTTAGTACTTTCACTGTAACAGAGTATTAATACAGTGTAGTGTTAGTACTTTTACTGTAACAGAGTATTAATACAGTGTAGTGTTAGTACTTTCACTGTAACTGAATATTAATACAGTGTAGTGTTAGTACTTTCACTGTAACTGAATATTAATACAGTGTAGTGTTAGTACTTTCACTGTAACTGAATATTAATACAGTGTAGTGTTAGTACTTTTACTGTAACAGAGTATTAATACAGTGCAGTGTTAGTACTTTCACTGTAACAGAGTATTAATACAGTGCAGTGTTAGTACTTTCACTGTAACAGAGTATTAATACAGTGCAGTGTTAGTACTTTCACTGTAACAGAGTATTAATACAGTGTAGTGTTAGTACTTTCACTGTAATAGAGTATTAATACAGTGTAGTGTTAGTACTTTCACTGTAACTGAGTATTAATACAGTGTAGTGTTAGTACTTTCACTGTAACAGAGTATTAATACAGTGTAGTGTTAGTACTTTCACTGTAACAGAGTATTAATACAGTGCAGTGTTAGTACTTTCACTGTAACAGAGTATTAATACAGTGCAGTGTTAGTACTTTCACTGTAACAGAGTATTAATACAGTGTAGTGTTAGTACTTTCACTGTAACAGAGTATTAATACAGTGTAGTGTTAGTACTTTCACTGTAACAGAGTATTAATACAGTGTAGTGTTAGTACTTTCACTGTAACAGAGTATTAATACAGTGTAGTGTTAGTACTTTTACTGTAACAGAGTATTAATACAGTGTAGTGTTAGTACTTTTACTGTAACAGAGTATTAATACAGTGTAGTGTTAGTACTTTTACTGTAACAGAGTATTAATACAGTGTAGTGTTAGTACTTTCACTGTAACAGAGTATTAATACAGTGTAGTGTTAGTACTTTTACTGTAACAGAGTATTAATACAGTGTAGTCTTAGTACTTTCACTGTAACTGAATATTAATACAGTGTAGTGTTAGTACTTTTACTGTAACTGAATATTAATACAGTGTAGTGTTAGTACTTTTACTGTAACTGAATATTAATACAGTGTAGTGTTAGTACTTTCACTGTAACTGAATATTAATACAGTGTAGTGTTAGTACTTTTACTGTAACTGAATATTAATACAGTGTAGTGTTAGTACTTTCACTGTAACTGAATATTAATACAGTGTAGTGTTAGTACTTTTACTGTAACAGAGTATTAATACAGTGTAGTGTTAGTACTTTCACTGTAACTGAATATTAATACAGTGTAGTGTTAGTACTTTTACTGTAACAGAGTATTAATACAGTGTAGTGTTAGTACTTTTACTGTAACTGAATATTAATACAGTGTAGTGTTAGTACTTTTACTGTAACAGAGTATTAATACAGTGTAGTGTTAGTACTTTTACTGTAACTGAATATTAATACAGTGTAGTGTTAGTACTTTTACTGTAACTGAATATTAATACAGTGTAGTGTTAGTACTTTCACTGTAACTGAATATTAATACAGTGTAGTGTTAGTACTTTCACTGTAACTGAATATTAATACAGTGTAGTGTTAGTACTTTCACTGTAACTGAATATTAATACAGTGTAGTGTTAGTACTTTCACTGTAACTGAATATTAATACAGTGTAGTGTTAGTACTTTTACTGTAACAGAGTATTAATACAGTGCAGTGTTAGTACTTTCACTGTAACAGAGTATTAATACAGTGCAGTGTTAGTACTTTCACTGTAACAGAGTATTAATACAGTGCAGTGTTAGTACTTTCACTGTAACAGAGTATTAATACAGTGTAGTGTTAGTACTTTCACTGTAACAGAGTATTAATACAGTGTAGTGTTAGTACTTTCACTGTAACTGAGTATTAATACAGTGTAGTGTTAGTACTTTCACTGTAATAGAGTATTAATACAGTGTAGTGTTAGTACTTTCACTGTAACAGAGTATTAATACAGTGTAGTGTTAGTACTTTTACTGTAACAGAGTATTAATACAGTGTAGTGTTAGTACTTTACTGTAACAGAGTATTAATACAGTGTAGTGTTAGTACTTTTACTGTAACAGAGTATTAATACAGTGCAGTGTTAGTACTTTTACTGTAACAGAGTATTAATACAGTGTAGTGTTAGTACTTTTACTGTAACACAGTATTAATACAGTGTAGTGTTAGTACTTTCACTGTAACAGAGTATGTACACAGTGTAGTATTATGAGAGCCAGCAGGGGGCGGCATCACGTTTAAAATATGGAGTGTCATTTCATTTATATTAATTACATTTACATTTTCCTAAAAACGTCCATCTTTTAGATGATATTGGAAAAGTATATTTTCTACTGATTCCACCAGAGTTACAACTAATATTAGGTTTAATTGTTATCAATAAATGAGACACTTTAACATTTTAACCTGAAGATAAATGCTCCTGAATATGAACCATGTTTCATCTTAATCCCATAATATCTGTAGTTATTTCACTCCTTTAATACTCCTAAACTTACAGTATGCTGCCTGCTTATACATATTTATATGTGGTATTTATTTACATTATTTATATGTACTTTTTGTATTAGTTATTTAGAATATTTATATGTAAGTCTTAAAAACCCTGATTATTGATATAAGTGTGAATAATGTGATCTAATGAAATCAAAATGTTCCTGTTAGATATTTCCCCAAAGTGTCCTGGCCAGATTTGGACCCTTGGTTTGGTGTTTCCTGATCATCCTGAATGCTACGGCTAACTAAAGAAATACAATAATAAACTAACTTAAACTCAAACTGCCGCTGGGCCCAGAAAGCAAATGTTACGCAGGGAATAAAGTCCAATGTCCAGGCAGAAGATCCTTTCATCCGTTTATTGTAGTATTCCAATCAAATACAGAGAACAATGATTTTCACCTTTCTCCCTCTCTGGCTGTCGCTCCTTGTAGAAAACCATACGCTCAAACTGGTGCGTCCCCCCCCCCCCCCAACCTGTGATCAATATATACTAATCACCAGGAGCTCACACCTCCTTCAAAATAAAAGCAGAACTACTGCAACTACAATTATTACGATAATTAATGATTCATTCACTAAAACAAAAAGGGCCAGAAAATAAACGTTTACTTATAAAATAACATAAACCAATATTTAGCTCCAACTCTGAATGTAATGTTAGTTCAGTGAAGGCAGGATGTGCTTATCTAAACTCTGATCTATTCTGCTTTATTAATGTCCTGCTCTTCATCTCTCTCCAGTGGGGAGGGGTCTTCATCTCTCTGCAGTGGGGAGGGGTCTTCATCTCTCTGCAGTGGGGAGGGGTCTTCAGGCCAAATTCTCTCCAGAAGTTCATTGGGATCCAAATTGACATTAGCGTGGCGAGGTATTTCTCCTTTGCAGAACTTCAGTTTCTCTCTCAGTCGGACCGGATCGAACTCCAGCAGCTGAAACAGGCAGAGCTCAGATTCAGCAACATCTGGAACAACATGGACCCCATCATTAACTACAACTCCCATGAGCCTCTGGGAACACGTTCAAAATCATTTTTGTATTCATAATTAATTATAAATAATTATTAGGACGGTCAAAGTCAATGTGTTAATAACACAACTTTCACTTTTTTAGTGCCCGTTTTTTGACCCTGATAAGAGTACGGAACCGGCCCTGGAACCGGCTTGGTGGAACAGTGGCACTAGGTGCTTCTGAGAAAAGGAGCTGACATTACATTACATTACATGTCACTTGTTAGACGCTTTTATCCAAAGCGACTTACATACTCAATACTGTGGGCAATCCCCACAGGAGCACTTTGGGGTGAAGTGTCTCAGGGACACAACGACATGCTGACTGCAGTGGGGTTTGAACCTTTGACCCCCTGATCCCCATACAAAGGCTCTATCCACTGCGCCTCCCTTGATATCAAACTGAGCTCTGAAATGAGTCACCAGATCCACTCTGGTCAGTCCTACAAAGTTATCCTGGAAATATATAAATATATGAAATGTATATCCAGGGACAGTTTCATCCCACAGGCCATCAGACTGTTAAACACCTGCACTTTTGAAAGAACATTCATAACATTCATCTGTTTGCAACTTACAAATGATTTATCTAATATATCACATTCCAATCACTTGTATACAGACTCTTCTTGCACTATTTCTATTCTATGTTATTGTATTACTTGCACTTACTTGTGTTGCTCTGTTGGAGGAGCCTGTGACCTCAGATTTTCATACATATTTTCAGACATATCTACACTGTAGCTCTGAACACATGACAATAAAAGCCTTGAAAATGTAGAGAAAGCCTGACGCTGAGCTGTGGACAAGAAGACAAAGAGGAAGTGATCACCTTGTCCTCCTCCACATGCAGAGCGATGCGCACATTATCCCAGACATAGTTCTCATCAGGGCTGCAGGGCCGAACCTCCATCTGCTGAGTCTCATCGTTCCGGAACAACTTGAATCTGACAGAGAGACAGGAAGTCAATCCATAACTCATTTCCTGTCTGAACCTCCCAGGTTACCTGTCATTGTTGTTTTCTCACCTGTGAGTTTCACACATGGCCTCAGGCCTCCAGATGAAGCGGCCATCTCTGTAACAGCAGACAGCGTTTGGGTCGTCGGTCAGAAGAGGATATTCTGAGAACTGCTCCTGATTGGCCGGACTGTGGACCAGCACCACGTACATCACTTCCTGTTTGTACAGGTTGGTCTCATACACCCGCATGAGGGGCTGCTCACCGCCGCAAAACTGGAGAGAGAAGAAGAGCTTTTACACAGAATCACAGAATCACGTGGAAAAGTCGTTCAACAAAATGATGAACTTAAATTCGTGGAATAGCATTACAGTATGAGTCCTAAACCCTGACATGAGTCAGCATTATGAGTCCTAAATCCTGACATGAGTCAGCATTATGAGTCCTAAACCCTGACATGAGTCAGCATTATGAGTCCTAAACCCTGACATGAGTCAGCATTATGAGTCCTAAACCCTGACATGAGTCCTACACCTCAGTACCTGCAGACTGTAGGCCTCCAGCAGCTCCTGAAGGGGGAAGGTGAACTGGTACGATCCGAACATGGGGCTCTCCTTGAAGGCCGGTGAGGAGGCAAACTCCCCCAGGAAGCTCTGCTGATCCTGGACCTGCTGCTCTGTCCGGTCCGGGTATGTTTCCTGGAGGAGGCGCTGCTCAGCTGATCTGAGTTCCTCCCCCCCCACCGACAGACCCCACCACACCAGGTCTTGTTTTCCCTTGAAGCCTCCGGACTCCTTGATGCGTTCCAAACCCTGTCTGTCGGTGTCGTGCTTCAGGTGGCTCACAAGGATCTCTGGTCGCGGGTATTCTGGGATTCTGCCATTTTTAAAGAGGTAACTGTTTCCTGAGCTCTGAGGTCTGTCTCTCAGGTCATCCAGGTTCAGATGCTCCTTCTTAAAACAGATCCATTCAGCCGCCATGATCAGCTGGCTCTCCTCTGAGGACGATCTATTACAGCTGACAGAGTACAGCTAGAGACTGAAGATAAACCCCACCTGCCACCACGCCCTGTAGGTAAATATAAATTATAAACATCATCATGAGATGGAGAAACCGGTCTAACAGGTTTAGATGCCCAGTGCTGTTTTGATTTTTTACTGCCCAGAGAAAACTCAAACACACTCGTCTGAACCAAACCCTCCACCAGGTAAAGCTTTGGAAGAACATAGTTTAAATATATGTATTTGATTCTATATGTGATTTAATGTGTGGAGCAGAGAAGGCTCGGTCTCCCCTGGTCTTTTTCCTTGTTTTAGGGACTACCAGCCGCAGCTGATCAGCCGACCTCAAAGCCCTTGAGGGGGTGTCCACCTGTAGGAGGTCAGAGATGTACTGAGGGGCCAGCCCATTGAGCGATTTAAAAACAAACAATAACATCTTAAAGTTAACTCTAAAATGGACAGAAAGCCAGAGCCACAGTTTCGCCCCTGCAAGGCTCCAGCGCGTGCTCCACTAGCCCCCCCCGGCGACGTTCGCGACACTGAGGGCCTCATCACATAACCTTGCGGGGGGCCACAAGTTAGCCAGGGGCGGCCCTGCAGGGAACCCAGGTCAATGGAAGGGACACCCCCATTTGGTCCAAACACAATGACCCCTGTTTTGCTCTCATCTATATTTAAAAAGTTTAGCGCCATCCAGGCCTTCATGTCATTAAGACAGTCGACCAGGGGCATCAGAGAGCTGGTGGTTGTTTTGTTTTTTTAGGGGTAATGTATTTGGGAGTCGTCTGCATATATTCAAATCATAAACAAACCTGCATCTGCGTCAGAGAGTAAACAAATACAAACATTAAGTCAACAAACTGAGGTGAAGGGGACGTTTACTATTTGACTATAAAATGATATATTCTGTATTAGATTTACTCGTAGAGCAGTACGTGAAGCTTTAACTACTCTCCAGGATTAGATTCATAAAACTAATATTATAAACAAATTAATAAATATTATTACGGATTAAACTTTATTAGGAAAACATTTTCTAAATCTGTTTCAGTTTACACAATTTCTTAAATTCATTTATAGAATATATAATATCTCATGAGTTGTGTTTAAAGCACAATTAATGATCTGCAGGAGAGCTAGCTGTTAGCCGCTAGCTGTTAGCCATGAGCTGTTAGCCGCTAGCTGTTAGCCTTTAGCAGCTGTTGCTTTGGAAGAGTACATATTAATAATGAAACACAGATTATCCGATGACAGTATGTGTAAATACATTTTATTTAAAATAAAGACATGTATTTATATATTTATATATATATTTATACACATAACACATATTTGTATTTTCTATTTCAGGTTTAACGCCAGTTTATTAAAACAAATGATATTGTAAACTTCTGTTTGTTAAAAACAATGTAATATCCCTCAAGTTGTGTTAAATGTTAGCACCACATTGTTCCTGATGATGCTAACCTGAGCGAGCTAACGTTAGCCGTTAGCTGTTAGCACTTAGCCGTTGATAGCAGAACATAAAATACAAATGAAACACAGATTGTCGAATTACAGTATTTGAAATTACTTTTTATTTAAAAAAAAAAAAGAGTATTTATATTCAGTCAGTTTTATTTTATTCAGGTTTTTTAACCCCTAAAAAAATCAAAAGTCTTCAGATTGGATTTAAAAACGATTGATTGGATTAAATAAGTATTTATTTTTGATGAACTCGTTTATTTCATGAACATAAATACATGAAAGCAGCTGGCGTGATATTATATAAAATCACAAATAACGGAATTAAATATCTATTTCCGGTCCATATTAACGGTGCCCCCCGCCCGGCCCCATACCCCCCCCCCCCTAAAACACATGAGGCTGAAGCAGAAAATAAAAACATTTGTGAAATCAGGAAATTGTCTTATTTTTTAAAATAAACGTGACTTCAGCTTGAATCTGACAGTCAGCGTGAAAGCAGCTTCAACCGGGCGATAATACAAACATTAAATATTAATGTTTTTATTCATATTTTATATTCTCTGTAATAATAAACACTATGTCCAACAGAGTCCACAGGTGAGTCTCCTCCCCCTTTCAGGTGAGTCTCCTCCCCCTCAGGTGAGTCTCTCTCAGGTGAGTGGCTCCTCCCCCTCAGGTGAGTCTCTCTCAGGTGAGTGGCTCCTCCCCCTCAGGTGAGTGGCTCCTCCCCCTCAGACGAGTCTCTCTCAGGTGAGTGGCTCCTCCCCCTCAGGTGAGTCTCTCTCAGGTGAGTGGCTCCTCCCCCTCAGGTGAGTCTCTCTCAGGCGAGGCTCCTCCCCCCTCAGGTGAGTCAGTACCTCTTGTCCTCAGGGGGCGTGGCTACGATCACCTCTTTGCTCCCGAAGTCCCAGAAGGCCGTCATGTGGAAGGCCATGTTGGAGAAAACCACCAGGTACTCGAAGAGGGAGAACAGCGTGTAAACTGAGGAGAGAGAGGGGGGGGGGGGGGAGGAGAGAGAGGGGGGGGGGGGGGGAGAGGGGGAGAGGGGCATTAATGAAATAATGAAGCACAGAAAACAGCCTATAAATAAACTGGACAAAAATGTATAAAAAATTGGCTAAATTTAGAAAAACATGACAAAAAAACCTCAAGCAAATATAAAAAAAAATTACACCAGACTACGAAAGCAAATGTAAAATAGACTTACGAACAAAGTTGATGAAAAATTTGAAACAACTAAATATAACGAGAGAAAATAAAAAAATGAACAAATAGAAACTCGGCCAAAAAATATATATAAAAATAGATCGACTAAGTAAAGCGAAACGCCCAAAAAGAAACATTAAAAAGAAGAAATGGACAAAAAAAAACCTGATATAAAAAATAGTAAAGAGTAAAAATAAAACGAACAAAAAATTCAAACTCGACATACATAAAAAGTTAGAAACTGACAAATGTAATAAAACTAGACCTTCCTGTAAAGATGTCTATTATTCATGAAACAGACTGGACCTGTTTGACCCCACATGACTCACCTCCGGCCTCGCAGAGCTGGTTGTGGCGTCGGAAGAAATACGCAGCGGACAGGAAGCAGCCCACGTTAAACAGGAAGAGACGCAGCTTCCACACACACGACGTCTTCTCCTACACACACACACACACACACACACACACACACACACACACACACACACACACACACACACACACCACACACACACACACACACACACACACACACACACACACACACAACACACACACACACACACACACACACACACACACACACACACACACACACACACACACACACACACACACACACACACACACACACCCTGGTCACTAGACCATAATGATCGTGTACTTAGTCTAAGTAATGCATTATATAATGTATAGCATGAATATGAGCAGCACAGTGTGGCGCCCCCTGCAGGCGAGACTCAGCACTGCAGCTCTGTCTCCTCAGCTCTCAGAGACTTTGGGAGGGTTCATATCATATATCATATTTCATATCAGAATCACACATTACTCTCACTTCTATTAACATGGAGAGGCTTTTATTCTGACATCTAATAAGTCCTTTTTTTATGTTTCCTGACATTTTATACACCAAACATTAATCTAAAGAGCGCTCTGCAGGGTGATGGGTACTAGCAGATAGTTATATATATAATAATAATAATAATAATAATAATAATAATAACGTTATTTGTATAGCACCTTTCATACAGGGGATTGCAGTTCAAAGTGCTTTACATCAGTAAGAAATAAGACATGAAATCAGAGTAACACAAGCAGCAAAGCATAAAGCGGGATAACATAATGAAACATAAATCATGGGGAATAAAACACATACGGTCAAGTCAGTCAAATGCTTTGGGAAAGAGATAGACATTTTTAAAAGGCAGCTTAAAACCTAACGTATTGGCTTCCCTAATGTTGTTGGGTAACGTGTTCCACAGGTTTGGGGTCGTAGTTTACAGAGGCTGCATCACGGATCTTCTTAGGACTCTTTCTGGTGACCTCCAATAGACCTGCATCTGATGGTCGCAGTGTTCTGCCAGGTGTGTCGTTTATTAGAGAATCAGCAAAGTAGCTGGGTCCTTGTCCATTTAGAGCTTTGTGTGTGAGGAGAAGCCCCTTCAAATCAATTCTGAAAGTTACAGGAAGCCAGTGTAGAGTAGCTAAGACAGGACTCATGTGTTCCCTCCTTTTGGTATCAGTCAGTAGTCTAGCTGCAGAGCTTTGGATGAGCTGGAGTCTCTCAACAGTCTTCTTGGGGAGTCCAGTGAATAGTGCATTGCAGTAGTCTATCGGCTAGATGTAAAAGCATGAATGAGCTTCTCTGCATCCTTTGGATTTATGAATGGCCGTACCTTCGCTATGTTTCTGAGATGAAAGGAAGCTATTTTGGTCACTTTGTTTAAATGGGCGTTGAAGTTCAAATCTGAGTCCAGGATGACACGGAGACTTGTCACCTCCGGTTTAATCCAAGTGGTTAAGCTTCCTAGATTATTTGTAAGCATCTCTCTTTTTGATTTGGGGCCAACAAGTAGGACTTCAGTTTGGTCCTCATTCAATTTAAGAAAGTTATCGTTCATCCATTTGTTTATGGCTGTCGTATCATTTGGTTCAGCGGATATGTACAATTGTGTATCATCCGCATAGCTGTGGAAATCTATCCCATACTCTCTGATGATGTCGCCGAGCGGTGACATATAGAGAGGAAAGAGCAATGGACCTAAACAGCTCGCTTGTGAAACCCCGTAGCGGCTTTCATGTTTCTCTGATGTATGGCCTCCTAGACTAATAAAGAACATCCTTCCTCTGATGTTTGGATCCAGTTCAACACGCAGACAGAGAAACCAAAACGCTTTTCAAGTCCATTTATTAGGATGATGTGATCAATAGTATCAAAAGCTGCACTGAGATCTAATAGGATAAGGATGGAGATGTGATTTGCATCAGAGTGGAGTCTGAGGTCACTAAGGACCTTTGTGAGTGCAGTTTCCGTACTGTGGTATCTTCTGAAACCTGACTGACATACTTCTAACATGTTTGATAGGAATTGATTTGGACTGAGACTATTCTTTCCAATATTTGACTGATAAATGGTAGATTTGATATTGGTCTGTGGTTTGCTACTGTGTTGTTATCCAGTTTAGGTTTCTTTAACAGCTGTTTGAAAGGCATCAGGGAAGACGCCAGTTTTAAGGGATGTGTTTATAATGTCCAGGACCGGACTGGAGACGCTATCAAACACTCGCTTAAAGAATTTTGTGGAGATAGGATCAATGTCTGAGGTTGTGGAGTTTGCTTCTGAGACAGTTTTACACAGTTCGCTTTGTGTGATGCATGTAAAGTTACTCATGGTTACATGACATACTCTACTGAGATCGCTTTCATCTCCACTACGAGTGATACTAGCTCTGATTGAAGTTATTTTGTTCTCAAAAAACAGAGCAAATTCCTCACATTTAGCTGTTGAGGAGGGTGGGGGGGCAGAGACAGTGTTTAGGTGGGGGGGCAGAGACAGTGTTTAGGTGGGGGGGGGCAGAGACAGTGTTTAGGTGAGGGGGGGGGGGGGGGCAGAGACAGTGTTAGGTGGGGGGGGCAGAGACAGTGTTTAGGTGGGGGGGCAGAGACAGTGTTAGGTGGGGGGGGCAGAGACAGTGTTTAGGTGGGGGGGCAGAGACAGTGTTTAGGTGGGGGGGCAGAGACAGTGTTTAGGTGGGGGGGCAGAGACAGTGTTAAGGTGGGGGGGCAGAGACAGTGTTTAGGTGGGGGGGTCAGAGACAAGTGTTTAGGTGGGGGGCAGGACAAGAGACAGTGTTTTAGGTGGGGGGGCAGAGACAGTGTTTAGGTGGGGGGGGGCAGAGACAGTGTTTAGGTGGGGGGGCAGAGACAGTGTTTAGGTGGGGGGGGCAGAGACAGTGTTTAGGGTGGGGGGGCAGAGACAGTGTTTAGGTGGGGGGGGCAGAGACAGTGTTTAGTGGGGGGGGCAGAGACAGTGTTTAGGTGGGGGGGGCAGAGACAGTGTTCAGGTGGGGGGGGCAGAGACAGTGTTTAGGTGGGGGGGGCAAGACAGTGTTAAGGTGGGGGGGCAGAGAGACAGTGTTTAGGGGGGGGGGCAGAGACAGTGTTAGGTGGGGGGGGCAGAGACAGTGTTTAGGTGGGGGGGCAGAGACAGTGTTTAGGTGGGGGGCAGAGACAGTGTTTAGGTGGGGGGGCAGAGACAGTGTTTGTAGGTGGGGGCAGAGACAGGTGTTTAGGTGGGGGGGGCAGAGACATGTGTTAGGTGGGGGGGCAGAGACAGTGTTTATAGGTAGGTGGGGGGGCAGAGACAGTGTTTTAGGGGGGCAGGAAGGGTTTCGGTGGGGGGGCAGAGACAGTGTTTAGGTGGGGGGGGCAGAGACAGTGTTTAGGTGGGGGGGGCAGAGACAGTGTTTAGGTGGGGGGGCAGAGACAGTGTTTAGGTGGGGGGGCAGAGACAGTGTTTAGGTGGGGGGGCAGAGACAGTGTTTAGGTGGGGGGGGGCAGAGACAGTGTTTAGGTGGGGGGGCAGAGACAGTGTTTAGGTGGGGGGGGGGGGGCAGAGACAGTGTTTAGGTGGGGGGGGCAGAGACAGTGTTTAGGTGGGGGGGGGCAGAGACAGTGTTTAGGTGGGGGGGGCAGAGACAGTGTTTAGGTGGGGGGGGCAGAGACAGTGTTTAGGTGGGGGGGGGGCAGAGACAGTGTTTAGGTGGGGGGGGCAGAGACAGTGTTTAGGGGTGGGGGGGCAGAGACAGTGTTTAGCAGCTGATCGATAGTGGAGGAAAGTCCGATGGTTCTGTTGAAGGCAGTTAAAGCATCTTTGTAGATTTCACAGCAGATAGTGGTTTTTGTTTTCCTCCATTTTCTCTCTGATGCACGACATTTCCTTTTTTCTTCTTTGACACCATTGTAGTTCAACCAGGGGGAGGCTCTGGTTGTCGACTTCTTTGTAGTCTTTAGTGGGGCGACAGAATTGAATACAGATGATAGTGCATCATTGAGATGTTCTACCATGTCCTTTAGAGAGCTGTCATGACGGTGTGGTTCATCTAGTCTGATGGGTTATTTCAGCATCAAAGAATATACAGTGATGGAGAGAGGTAGCTCAGTTATTGAGATATTACTGATGTTTAGCCCAGTTGTTCTCACTAAGTCGAATGTATTACCATGTCGGTGAGTTGCAGTCATTATATGCCGTGTTAGATCAAAGCTCTCTAGTAGGTTTGCGAGCTCTCTAGCTTTGGAGTCTATAGCTATTCAGGTCTCCGTTTAGGATCACCTTATCCTAACTGGTAACACAGTGAGATCAGTTCAGATGGTGAGGGTCTAGGTGGACGGTATATTGTGACAATTATGGTTGATTCAGTTTTGAGTTCAATGGCTAGATATTCCATCGGCATGAACTCACCTAGTTCTGTTTTGAGGAGGAAATGTCTGCCCCTCCTCCTCCTCTTCGGCTCTTTCTGGGCAGCTGATAAAAGCTATAGTTTGGTGGACAGGTCATTATTGATGTAGCTGAGTCGTTATTAAGCCATGTCTCCACTAAGCAGATGCAATCTAAGTTATTTTCTTTAATCAGATCATTAACTAAAAAGGTTTTATTATTCAGAGATCTGACATTTAGGAGGGCTAATTGTATTTGTTGGACTTCTATGTCATGAGAGGAGATGTGCTTTGGCTGGACTTTGATCGCTTTGAGGTTAACGGCACGAGCAGGCCTATGAGATGGTGCATAGCTTTTACCATGCCATTGGCTGGTTGAGATTACCGGTATGTTGGAGATGGCGTCTGTACTATCGTTGTTTTTCTTCGGGCAGTGAGTCCACTGAGATTGCACTGAGTTCAAGATGTTGTTTCGTGGAGGTCAGTGTGTTGCTTGTGTCCAGGAGGTTGTGTCATTCGGCTTAGATGGAGCAGAGATTGGGGCTTGATTCTGTCCACTTAAGGAGGTCAAGAGCGCGTGACTGATGTTTGCTGTTAGTAGTCGAGAACCTCTATCATTTGGGTGAAGTCCATCAGATGCTAAGCGGGCCCCACAATTACAGAAAATATTGAAATTGTCAATGAATGTCAGTTTGTGTGAGTGACAGACAGTCGGCTGAATGCCTCTTTTCCTCTACGATAGCAAGCAACCGGTCCACTGATGGACACATCCTGATGGTCCGTGTGTTCAGTAGCTTCAAGTGTCTCAGTGCCAGTTTGTTTGTGCAGGATATCAAACGAGCAGCTGTTTCATAAACTAAATATATACTGAATGTTTCTAACAGATAAAGTATGGAGGTGTGTGTATTCTAATAACTCTGAGGGTGTGTGAGTGTGAGTGTGAGTGTGAGTGTGTGTGTGTGTGTGTGTACCTCTGGGTGTACGTAGTGTCTCCTGATGACCATCCACAGTCTGCAGGTGATCAGCATGTGCAGCAGAGAGCTTCCCATGAACACAGCGAAGCCGTACTTATGAACATCTGGAGAGAGAGAGAGCTTGTTAACATCTGGAGAGAGAGAGAGCTCGTTAACATCTGGAGAGAGAGTGCTCGTTAACATCTGGAGAGAGAGAGCGCTCGTTAACATCTGGAGAGAGAGAGAGCTCGTTAACATCTGGAGAGAGAGAGGTCGTTAACATCTGGAGAGAGAGAGCTCGTTAACATCTGGAGAGAGAGAGCTCGTTAACATCTGGAGAGAGAGAGGTCGTTAACATCTGGAGAGAGAGAGAGGTCGTTAACATCTGGAGAGAGAGTGCTCGTTAACATCTGGAGAGAGAGAGAGAGAGCTCGTTAACATCTGGAGAGAGAGAGCGCTCGTTAACATCTGGAGAGAGAGAGAGCTCGTTAACATCTGGAGAGAGAGAGCGCTCGTTAACATCTGGAGAGAGAGAGAGAGCTCGTTAACATCTGGAGAGAGAGAGAGAGCTCGTTAACATCTGGAGAGAGAGAGCGCTCGTTAACATCTGGAGAGAGAGAGCGCTCGTTAACATCTGGAGAGAGAGAGAGAGCTCGTTAACATCTGGAGAGAGAGAGCGCTCGTTAACATCTGGAGAGAGAGAGAGCGCTCGTTAACATCTGGAGAGAGAGAGAGAGAGAGCTCGTATGTCTCGGTGGAGGACACTTACTGTACGTCTCGGTGGAGGACACTTACTGTACGTCTCGGTGGAGGACACTTACTGTACGTCTCGGTGGAGCACACTTACTGTACGTCTCGGTGGAGGACACTTACTGTACGTCTCGGTGGAGGACACTTACTGTACGTCTCGGTGGAGCACACTTACTGTACGTCTCGGTGGAGGACACTTACTGTACGTCTCGGTGGAGGACACTTACTGTATGTCTCGGTGGAGGACACGTATGTGAGCAGCAGCAGCCCTGTGTTCTCCGTCAGGCTGCAGATCAGGTTGAGGACGCTCAGCAGCAGCTCAGGGGGGCGCGAGCTGAAGCGTCCTCGGTAGAAACTGAAGTATGCTGCGGAGACTAGGAAGCGAGGCGCCGAGTGGAGCCCGATGCACGAGCGCCAGATGTAACGTTCAGGGACCCTGCTGATGGCCGAGCTGATGGAGGGGAGGTAGTTCGGTACCTGGGGGGGGGGGGGGGACATAATCAGAGAGGTTAGAGTACTCACATCCTTTACTCAAGTAGAGGTACACACATCCTTTACTCAAGTAGAAGTACACATCCTTTACTCAAGTAGAAGTACACACATCCTTTACTCAAGTAGAAGTACACACATCCTTTACTCAAGTAGAAGTACAGATACTCGTGTTTAAGATACTCTGGTGAAAGTAGAAGTACTGACTAAACTTCTTTCCTCAAGTCAAAGTAAAGAGGGCTTTGAAATGTACTTCAGTAAAAAGTACCCATAACTAGCAGCTGTTTTAAAGAGTACCTGACCTCCCTTTATATTAATAGAACAATAATGTCATTGTTAGCTAATGAATGTTTCCATGCTGAACAACGGCAACATGACAACGTTTTCATTGGTCCCTCTTCTTTAGAGAAGACCAGGAAATGATGGATACACGGATCGTGTTCAAATCAATAGGCACGCAATGACTCTAAATAATAATGATCACGCCACCAAACACACATTCAAACTAAAGGAACCAGCCTGTTTGGGAAATGTAAGAAGTAGTGGTAGAGGGTGTGTGTGTGTGTGTGTGTGTGTGTGTGTGTGTGTGTGTGTGTGTGTGTGTGTGTGTGTGTGTGTGTGTGTGTGTGTGTGTGTGTGTGTGTGTGTGTGTGTGTGTGTGTGTGTGTGTGTGTGTGTGTGTGTGTGTGTGTGTCTCACCTTGCAGTGTGTGTAGGTGGCGTCCTCGTAGTGGTAGAGGATGGAGGTGAAGAGGCAGGCGATGAGTCCGGTGAGCGGCAGCAGAACCGTCGCCACGGCGAAGCTGGTGAAGGGAACCCGGATCAGAGGGCGGTCCCGATCCAGACTGCTGTACGGGCCCTGCAGCATCCTACACACACACACACACACACACACACACACTGAGTCACTGTGTGTAACATTCTGAGCTCGGTAGTAGGTAGTAGTTGGTGGGTGTTTTTTTTCTCAAATTGTATTTTTTTTCAAGAATCTGATTTTTAGAATTTGAATTATTTCTCAAATTTCTTTTTCTTCTCAGAGTTGAAATTACTCGTAGTTTTGGTTTTTCCATAACAAGAAATATTTTGCTTGGCTGTAATGTACATACCATCATATCTAAATACCTGCCACTGTAATATATTGCTCTTCCATAGAACTGTCTAACTCATCTGGTACATTTCATATCCAGTATGTTATGGTTCATGTCCTTTCTACTGTAGACATGTATCTATATCTATACTAGAAGCTGTTCATTGGAAAGCCTGAACACGCTGCTGTAACCCAATCATTCCCAATGTGCGTTCAATAAAGTATATATATATATCCTAAATAAATTCTCATGTGGCCCCAATCCTCTTCTGTACTTTATTAATCATATATCACATACAATTACTTAAAGTATTAGTAGTAAAAATACTCATTGCTCAACAAATATTTAAAACTAAAAACTAAAAGCAGCAAATCTTCACATTTAAGAAGCTGTGACATGTTCTCTCTGAATGCACTCATAGTTTGAGTTACTATATATATATATATATATATGATGTTGGAGGGTTTAAGTTATTCCTGAGTTTTCTTACGTGTCAAAATCTGGATTTATAAAATAAATACTAAATAAATCTGTTAAATAAATGCAGTATAAAGTCACTTTGATTATAATGATTGCATTAAAGTATTATCATCAAAATATAGTCAAAGTAGAAGTACTCAGATCTTGTACTTGAGTAAAAGTAGAAGTACTCAGATCTTGTACTTGAGTCAAAGTAGAAGTACTCAGATATTGTACTTCAGTAAAAGTAGAAGTACTCAGATCTTGTATTTGAGTAAAAGTACTCAGGTCTTGTACTTGAGTAAAAGTAGAAGTACTCAGATCTTGAGTAAAAGTAGAAGTACTCAGATCTTGTACTTGAGTAAAAGTAGAAGTACTCAGATCTTGTACTTGAGTAAAAGTAGAAGTACTCAGATCTTGTACTTGAGTAAAAGTAGAAGTACTCAGATCTTGTACTTGAGTAAAAGTAGAAGTACTCAGATCTTGAGTTAAAGTAGAAGTACTCAGATGTACTTGAGTAAAAGTAGAAGTACCAGAGTGTAGGAATACTCTGTTACAGTAAAAGTCCTGCATTCAAAATGTTCCTCAAGTAAAAGTAGAAAAGTATTCTCATCAAAATATAGTGAAAGTAGCGACAGTAAAAGTAGTCGTTGTGCAGATTGGTCCATTTCAGAATAATATATATGATATGTTTTATAATGATTGATCATGAAAGTGTTCTCAAAGCTGGTAAAGGTGCAGCTAGTTTGAATGACTTTGTATACTGCAGGGTAGCTTGTGAATTTACTCCAGGTGGAACTAAAGTCTGATTTAAGACTTGGTTATATTTCAAATCATTCATCCAGATCTGTAGAGTAACTAAAGGGATTAAATACATGTAGTGGAGGAAAAGTACACAGTAGCATAACATGGAAATACTCAGGTAAAGTACAAGTACCTCAACTTTGTACACAGTTACTGTACAGCTCTGGTAGTTCTACCACTACTCCTACATAACTGATATCCCTGTGTGAGCACAGAGCAGCTCAGAAGCCTCCAGAAGCCCTGAGAGACAGCTTTATCGTCTGAGAGACAGCGAGTAAACAAAGAAAACAACAACAGTGAATGGAGGTGAATCAGAAGCTAAAGCTAGCTGTGTCTCCTGGACTTTGACTCTGCTCGCTGAGTTTCTGGCTTTAAAACAGAAGCGGTTCTTTGAGGAACACGCGTAGAAACACTCACCTTCACAGCTCCCGAGGCTTCTCGGTCATCGAGCCCTCTGTAGCCCTCCTTAGCCCTCTTTAGCCCGCTTTAGCTCGGGTTCATCAGAGCTAATCCGTTTAGCTCGTTTTTTCCTGATGAGATTTAGCCACGCCCACTTCCGCATTAGCGTAACTCTGCGTGATTGCGTCATTAAGGTAAACGTTGCTTTTCCTTCTTTCACGTGTTATTTTACACTAAAATAATTCCACTGGATTGTGTCGGTGTCGCTCACACGAAGCACATGTCATCAATATGTATTTCTAAAGATGTGTTATCTTTCTAGTGATCTCAATAAGCTTCCTAATCAAATTGATTATATATCATATTTTTAAATGATTCCTTGTTTCTTCGTTTGTCTTCGTCTAGATGTCCTCAGTTCGATATTACATTATGTTTAGGATGGTGTTGTTGAAACAGTTGTTCAATAACGTTTTTTTACTTTTTTTACTTTACAAATTTGGAGTTTATTTTTAGAATTATTACTATTTTCTCAGAAATTTGACTTTTTCCCTGAATGTTGACTTTGTTTTAAAATTGAATTTTCCTCAGAAATCTGACTATTTTCTCAGATCTTTGATTATTTTCTCACCATTTTAACTTTTTTCTCAGAATGTTGTCCATGTTTTATATTGTCTTTATTTTCTGTGACCTTTTTCCTCAGAATGTTAACTTTTCCCTCAGAATGTTAACTTTTCCCTCAGAATGTTAACTTTTTCCTCAGAATGTTAACTTTTCCCTCAGAATGTTAACTTTTCCCTCAGAATGTTAACTTTTTCCTCAGAATGTGGACAGGTGCAAACAGAAGACAAGAATTGACAGGACAAGTAATAAAGTAAAGTACAACAGGGCTTTTTACATAAATCATATTTTTAATAATTGTGCTTTACAGTTTACAGGATGTGCTTATCTAAACTCTGATTAATCACTGCTTTATTAACATCCTGCTCTTCATCTCTCTCCAGTGGGGACGGGTCTTCAGGCCAAAATCTGCGAACAGTCGCCTCGGCTAACGGGAAGTCATCAAACTCGACTGGAACGTGGATAAGTTTTTCTCCTTTGCAGAACTTCAGTTTCTCTCTCAGTCGGAGCGGATCGAACTCCAGCAGCTGAAACAGGAAGACCTCACTTCAGATTCAGCAACATGGACCATTAACTACAACTCCCATGAGCCTCTGGGAATACGTATATATATCTATATATAGATATACAACATTTCCACAACATTTTCACACATTTCTATTTCAAAATGTATGTGACATTTTTTCAATTTCTTTAAAAAAATTATTCAACATTTATCATTCAGAAATAAATAACATTTCATAAATCACCTTGTCCTCCACATGCAGAGCGAGGCCCACATTATCCCAGACATAGACCTGGTGAGGGCTGCAGGGCCGAGCCTCCATCAGCTGAGTCTCATCATTCCGGAACAACTCGAATCTGACAGAGAGACAGGAAGTCAATCCATAACGCATTTCATGTCTTTCCTGTTAATTTCCTGTCCCTTTATTGTCCTGTCTTTTCCCATGTTTACTTGTCTCTTCATTTACGGCCCTTCCTTTCCTGTCTGAACCTCCCAGGTTACCTGTCATTGTTGTTTTCTCACCTGTGAGTTTCACACATGGCCTCAGGCCTCCAGATGAAGCGGCCATCTCTGTAGCAGCAGACAGCGTTTGGGTCGTCGGTCAGAAGAGGATATTCTGAGAACTGCTCCTGATTGGCCGGACTGTGGACCAGCACCACATACATCACTTCCTGTTTGTACAGGTGGGTCTCATACACCCGCATGAGGGGCTGCTCACCGCCGCAAAACTGGAGAGAGAAGAAGAGCTTTTACACAGAATCACAGAATCACAGAATCACGTGGAAAACAAAATGATGAACTTAAAGGGGACCTATCATGCAAAATGCACTTTTGTACGTCTTTTATACATGAATATGTGTCCCCGGTGTTCCAGGGAACTCACCAAGTGTCAGAAAACACAACCCTCTCTATTTTCCTCCATACCCAAATCTCTAAAAAAGGGGCTGCAACGGATCTGATAAAAACTGATCCAGATTTGAACACTGTCCTGACGTCAGGACAGTGGCGCTACGGCTATTGGGCCAACTCCACCAATCAGGAGGAGACAGCCACGGCCATTGCCGTTAGAAAGCGCTGGAGACGCTGTAGTACATATGCCAGGCCTGTAGATGGTGCTGTTCTCACAGAATCTGCCCTTGCAAAAACAGAGCTTACATTTTTCAAATTGAGCGAAATGAGGCATGGCTAAAATGCATGATCTGTTTGGTATTTTGAAAAAAAAAAAGTATAAATATGCCTTATATAGGTATGGTCCTACACTATGTTATTCAAATATAGCATGATAGGTCCACTTTAAATTTGTGGAATAGCATTATGAGTCCTAAACCCTGACATGAGTCAGCATTATGAGTCCTAAACCATGACATGAGTCAGCATTATGAGTCCTAAACCCTGACATGAGTCAGCATTATGAGTCCTAAACCATGACATGAGTCAGCATTATGAGTCCTAAACCATGACATGAGTCAGCATTATGAGTCCTAAACCCTGACATGAGTCAGCATTATGAGTCCTGAACCCTGACATGAGTCAGCATTATGAGTCCTAAACCCTGACATGAGTCAGCATTATGAGTCCTAAACCCTGAAATGAGTCAGCATTATGAGTCCTAAACCCTGACATGAGTCAGCATTATGAGTCCTACACCTCAGTACCTGCCGACTGTAGGCCTCCAGCAGCTCCTGAAGGGGGAAGGTGAAGCGGTACGATCCCAGCCTGGAGATCTTCTTGAAGGCCAGCGAAGAGGCAAACTTCCCCAGGAAGCTCTGCTGATCCTGGACCTGCTGCTCTGTTCGGTCCGGGTATGTTTCCTGGAGGAGGCGCTGCTCAGCTGATCTGAGTTCCTCCCTCCCCACCGACAGACCCCACCACACCAGGTCTTCTCTCCACGGGTTCCTGAAGCCTCTGAACAGCTTGATGCCGATCAAACCCTTTCTGTCGGTGTCGTGTTTCAGATGGCTCACATGGATCTCTGGTCGTGGGTATTCTGGGATTCTGTCATTTTTAAAGACATAATTGTTTTCTAAGCCCTGAGCTCTGTCTCTCAGGTCGTCCAGCTTCAGATGCTCCTTCTGAACAACGCTTAACAAACATCCTCTCCTGTTCCTTCCAGCCTCCATGATCAGCTGGCTCTCCTCTGAGGATCTATTACAGCTGACAGACTAGAGTACAGCTAGAGACTGAAGAGGGAGGAGGGGAACAGGCCTCATACATGTTGCCAGATTCTTCACTTCTTGTTTCAGTGTCTTCAGGAAATCCCCAGTGCGGTGTTTATTTTTTAATGCGAAGAAAAACTCGAACACACTCGTCTGAACCAAACCCTCCACCAGTTAGAGAAATGAATCCAAAGCTTTCTAACTAAATACATAAAACACACACTTCACCCCCCCCCCCCCTTCTCCTCTCTCTGTGTCTAAGTATTCAACCCAAACTCTGCTCTTCCACTCTGCAGACAGTATGCTCTCTGAGTGACTCACTGAACTTTCTTGTCGACAAAGACAGCTGAACGGTTTGATTCTTTGTCCATCTGATCAAATACATTCCAGCCACGAGTGTTAGTACTTTCACTGTTACAGAGTATTAATACAGTGTAGTGTTAGTACTTTCACTGTAACAGAGTATTAATACAGTGTAGTGTTAGTACTTTTACTGTAACAGAGTATTAATACAGTGTAGTGTTAGTACTTTTACTGTAACAGAGTATTAATACAGTGTAGTGTTAGTACTTTTACTGTAACAGAGTATTAATACAGTGTAGTGTTAGTACTTTTACTGTAACAGAGTATTAATACAGTGTAGTGTTAGTACTTTTACTGTAACAGAGTATTAATACAGTGTAGTGTTAGTACTTTCACTGTAACAGAGTATTAATACAGTGTAGTGTTAGTACTTTTACTGTAACAGAGTATTAATACAGTGTAGTGTTAGTACTTTTACTGTAACAGAGTATTAATACAGTGTAGTGTTAGTACTTTCACTGTAACAGAGTATTAATACAGTGTAGTGTTAGTACTTTCACTGTAACTGAGTATTAATACAGTGTAGTGTTAGTACTTTCACTGTAACAGAGTATTAATACAGTGTAGTGTTAGTACTTTCACTGTAATAGAGTATTAATACAGTGTAGTATTAGTACTTTCACTGTAACAGAGTATTAATACAGTGTAGTATTAGTACTTTCACTGTAACAGAGTATTAATACAGTGTAGTATTAGTACTTTCACTGTAATAGAGTATTAATACAGTGTAGTGTTAGTACTTTCACTGTAACAGAGTATTAATACAGTGTAGTGTTAGTACTTTCACTGTAACAGAGTATTAATACAGTGTAGTATTAGTACTTTCACTGTAATAGAGTATTAATACAGTGTAGTGTTAGTACTTTCACTGTAACAGAGTATTAATACAGTGTAGTGTTAGTACTTTCACTGTAATAGAGTATTAATACAGTGTAGTATTAGTACTTTCACTGTAACAGAGTATTAATACAGTGTAGTATTAGTACTTTCACTGTAACAGAGTATTAATACAGTGTAGTATTAGTACTTTCACTGTAATAGAGTATTAATACAGTGTAGTGTTAGTACTTTCACTGTAACAGAGTATTAATACAGTGTAGTGTTAGTACTTTCACTGTAACAGAGTATTAATACAGTGTAGTGTTAGTACTTTCACTGTAATAGAGTATTAATACAGTGTAGTATTAGTACTTTCACTGTAACAGAGTATTAATACAGTGTAGTATTAGTACTTTCACTGTAACAGAGTATTAATACAGTGTAGTATTAGTACTTTCACTGTAATAGAGTATTAATACAGTGTAGTGTTAGTACTTTCACTGTAACAGAGTATTAATACAGTGTAGTGTTAGTACTTTCACTGTAACAGAGTATTAATACAGTGTAGTGTTAGTACTTTCACTGTAATAGAGTATTAATACAGTGTAGTATTAGTACTTTCACTGTAACAGAGTATTAATACAGTGTAGTATTAGTACTTTCACTGTAATAGAGTATTAATACAGTGTAGTGTTAGTACTTTCACTGTAACAGAGTATTAATACAGTGTAGTGTTAGTACTTTTACTGTAACAGAGTATTAATACAGTGTAGTGTTAGTACTTTCACTGTTACAGAGTATTAATACAGTGTAGTGTTAGTACTTTCACTGTTACAGAGTATTAATACAGTGTAGTGTTAGTACTTTCACTGTAACAGAGTATGTACACAGTGTAGTATTATGAGAGCCAGCAAGGGGCGGCATCACGTTTAAAATATGGAGTTTCATTTCATTTATATTAATTACATTTACATTTTCCTAAAAACGTCCATCTTTTAGATGCTATTGGAAAAGTATATTTTCTACTGATTCCACCAGAGTTACAACTAATATTAGGTTTAATTGTTATCAATAAATGAGACACTTTAACATTTTAACCTGAAGATAAATGCTCCTGAATATGAACCATGTTTCATCTTAATCCCATAATATCTGTAGTTATTTCACTCCTTTAATACTCCTAAACTTACAGTATACTGCCTGCTTATACATATTTATATGTGGTATTTATTTACATTATTTATATGTTTTTTTTTTTTTTTATGTCAATTTATTGAACATGTCAGAAACAAAACATACATCAATACTAATAATAATATATATTGCTTCTTCCTTTTCTTCCTTCTCACTCATAATAATAATAATTATACCAAAGTACAATAAAATAAATAATAATGATAATGCAAAAAAAAGAAATAAAAAGAAACAACAACAATAAATCTTAAATTAGTCTCTGTCGTGTTCAACAGGGGCAAGAAGAAGCTTAAAAAACTTTTCTGGTCCTACCCCTTCTAGCGTACATTTTCCTTGCAGTATAAATGAAGTAATTAGGTCATCGTCATCAGCGACATGTTTGTCTTGATACTTTTTTACAAAAACAATCAGGAAGTAATTACTTTTACAATTACAGGAAATAACAAAAGGAATTTTTACAGGTACTGTTCATAACCACTAATGGTTTGGCTCTTGAATAATACTTTCATTTTATATAAAGTTGTACAATTTTTCAGTGCATCACTACATTTATTCCACAGACTAACACCTTTTGATGAGATGCAATGAAGTTTGGCATTTGTACGTACGGGTGGTTTTTTGAAAATGCAGTTTCCTCTCAACATGTGCATGCCTTCTCTCCGTGTAAAAAGTCCCTGGACACCATGAGGCAAATGATGATTTGCGGCCTTGTACATAATTTGAATGGTTTTATAGTCAACCAGGTCTTGTAGTTTTAGTGTTTTTAGTTTGATAAATAATTTATTTGTTGGTTCTCTGTACGAATTTTGTGTATAACTCGTATTGTACTTTTTGTTTGGCTTATTTGTATTAGTTATTTAGAATATTTATATGTAAGTCTTAAAAACCCTGATTATTGATATAAGTGTGAATAATGTGATCTAATGAAATCAAAATGTTCCTGTTAGATATGTCCCCAAAGTGTCCTGGCCAGATTTGGACCCTTGGTTTGGTGTTTCCTGATCATCCTGAATGCTACGGCTAACTAAAGAAATACAATAATAATCTAACTTAAACTCAAACTGCCGCTGGGCCCAGAAAGCAAATGTTACGCAGGGAATAAAGTCCAATGTGTGAGGATCTGCAGTACTTCCTCCTTCTTTTCCACTTCTATGTTTGTTTGTCTTCCTGGCTGGGCGTGGCTGACCTACATTCTGATTCCCGCCAACTCATCTCCACTGCTGTTGTTCATCTCACTGATTGCCACTACTCACCTGCACCTGCTTAAAACCCTGGTTCCCATCCTCAGACTTCGCCAGTTCTTCGTTTATTCTTCAGTGATCTACACACACCTGCCGCTCTGCTTGCCACGTCCAGCCTCCGACTCCTCGTCTGAGTTCCCTCCGTGCTTCCGCGCACACCAGCTCATCCAGACTACATTCGCCAGCTCTGGATTCCCGGCTCTCCTCGTCGGTGTTTCCTCCGTGCCTCCACGCACACCAGCTCATCCTGTCTACATTCGCCAGCTCTGGATCTCCGGCTCTCCACGCCGGTGCTTCCTCCGTGCATCTCCGCACCTCCGTCTCCCCCTGAGCTATCCAGCTCCACGTCTGTCTTCTCTGAGCTCCTCTCTACACCTTGCCTGTGCCGTGGTCAAATAAAGACTATTGTTTGACACTTCACCACTGTCTCCGTCTAGTGTTTGCGTAGCGGGTTCTCATCTCCAGTCACTTCTCGGGAAGCGTAACAGAAGAACTGGCCAACAATGAACCCCGCAAGCACTGGAGCGGATCCCGCCACAGTCCATCATGCCCTGTCTAGTCAGGGTTCCCTTCTGGGTCAACACGACCAGCTCATTCGGGCGTTAGTCGAGAGCAATCAATCCATGGCTCATCATGTCTCAGAGTTAGCTTGCCAGATCTCAGCTCTAACTACCTCGGCTGCAGTTTCTCTTGCCACTCCCAATCCAGCTTTTTCTCCTACTCCACGCCAGGATTTCCCCATCACCGACCCTGAGCCATTCCACGGTGAGGTGGAGAAATGCAGAGGATTTCTTTTCCAGTGTAACAAGGTTTTTCGCCAGCGTCCTGTTTCGTTTGCAGCTGATGTTACCCGGATTAATTATGTTCTGAGTTTGCTCCGTGGCAAGGCTTTAACCTGGGCAGAGGCTTTGAGCTCTTCAGTGGACTATGACAATCTGCGTTTCGAATGCTTCTCTGAGCGTTTTTCTGCTGTCTTTGATCATCCCAATTATTCTGGCTCCGCCGAGAATCAGCTGCTCGGTTTACAACAGGGAAACCGGAGTGTGGCCGAATATTCCATCGAGTTTCACACACTCGCTGCAGAGGCTCGATGGGACGAGGCGGCTCTCAAGGCGGTGTTTTTGAGAGGATTATAGGATCAGCTCCGGGATGAATTAGCTGCACGAGACGTTCCAGCGGATCTCCAAGATCTGATTTCCTTGGTGTCCCGCCTGGACTGTCGTTTGCGGAAGCGCAGAGCTGAGCGGACACAGCGGAATCCACCTGTCTCACACAGTAAGCCCAGTTTTTCCACCTACCCTGTTCCCTCTGTGTTTAAGTCTCCCTCCGTTTTCTCGCCGCCCAGCGGGCGCACCTCTTCTCACGAGGAGGCTATACAACTGGGTCGCGCTAGACTATCTCCGGAGGAGCGTCAACGTCGGGCGTGTGCTGGCGAATGCATGTATTGTGGCAACGCTGGGCATGTCATTTCCAACTGTCCTGTACGCCCAAACGTGGGAGCTCGTCAGTGAGATTGGGGGTCCTGACGAGTCCACAGCCATCTTCTCTACCTCCATCTTTGTGCCGTTTTCTAATACCCGCCAAGATTTGTGTTAATACTATGACTTTGCCTATCCAAGCTCTCATTGATTCTGGTGCTGAGGATAGTTTTTTGGACCGTGAGTTAGCTGAACAGCTGGGACTCTGCCTGGAGCCGTTAGATGAACCTTTAACAGCCTATGCACTTAATGGACAAATAATCTCCTCTGTAACAGCACAGTCAGCCCCTTTGACATTGATCACCTCCGGCAACCACAGAGAGCTCATCCAGTTAAAGGTAATCTCTGCACCTTCCACACCTCTGGTATTGGGTTATCCGTGGCTTCGCACCCACAACCCACACATTGATTGGGTCAAAGGAAAGATCATTGAATGGGATCAGCACTGTCTCGCTAACTGTCTGTTATCTGCTGTACCTCCTGTCTCTGTCTCCCCAAACTCTGCTGCTTCTGTAGACTTAACTGGAGTTCCTGCGACCTACCACGACCTGAGATTGGTCTTCAGCAAGGAGAGGGCTCTCTCTCTTCCTCCTCATCGGCCCTACGACTGCTCTATAGATCTGTTTCCTGGGGCTCCTCTACCCACCAGCCGCCTCTACAACCTGTCCCGTCCTGAGAAGGAGGCTATGGAGCTATATATCACGGACTCAGTGGCTGCTGGGATTATTCGTTCTTCCTCCTCTCCCGTGGGTGCCGGTTTCTTCTTCGTTGGCAAAAAGGATAAGTCACTGCGACCTTGCATTGACTTTCGTGGGTTAAACAACATTACTGTTAAGAACAAGTACCCATTACCCCTTCTCACCTCTGCTTTTGAACCTCTCCATGAGGCAACCCTGTTCACCAAGCTTGACCTTAGGAACGCCTATCATCTGGTCCGTATCCGTCAAGGGGATGAATGGAAGACGGCTTTCAACACTCCCTTAGGTCATTTTGAATACCTAGTCATGCCCTTTGGACTCACTAACGCTCCAGCAGTATTTCAGGCTCTGGTCAACGATGTTCTGCGTGATTTCCTTAACCGCTTTGTCTTTGTTTACATAGACGACATCCTGATTTTCTCCAAAGACCTGGAGGAACACGAGAACCATGTCCGCCTGGTGCTTCAGAGACTGCTGGAGAACAAGCTCTATGTCAAGGCTGAGAAGTGTGAGTTCCACCAGAACCGGATCAGCTTCCTGGGCTATATCATTAGTCAGGGCAGAGTGGAGGCAGATTCTGGAAAGATCGAGGCTGTGGTCGAGTGGCCAGCCCCTACTACGAGGAGGGAGCTTCAGAGGTTTCTGGGCTTCGCCAACTTTTACCGCCGCTTCATCAGGAACTTCAGTAAGGTTGCTGCACCTCTCTCAAGACTCACCTCTGTCAACATTAAGTTCTTCTGGACCCCAGAGGCTAATGAGGCTTTTCTCAGACTCAAGTCCCTGTTCACCTCTGCTCCCATCCTCATCCAGCCAGACTCTGAGAAGCAGTTTATTGTGGAGGTTGATGCGTCAGACACTGGGGTGGGAGCTGTCTTGTCACAAACTGCTGGTTCTAATAACATCCTTCATCCTTGTGCTTTCTTTTCACGCCGCCTCTCTCCTGCTGAGCGCAATTATGACGTTGGAAACAGGGAGCTTCTGGGAGTAAAGTTGGCGTTAGAGGAGTGGAGACACTGGCTCGAGGGCAGCAAGCAGTCATTCCTGGTCTGGACAGACCACAAGAACCTCGCCTACATCCAGTCAGCGAGACGGCTGAACTCTCGACAGGCCAGATGGGCTCTCTTCTTCAGTCGCTTCAATTTTAGTCTCACATACCGTCCAGGTTCCCGGAATGTTAAGCCCGATGCTCTATCCAGACTGTACTCTTCTGACTCTCCCGAGCCCTCTGCTGGTTCAATCCTGCCCAAGAGTTGTGTTGTAGGCGCCCTCTCTTGGGAGATTAATAACACCATCCAGGAGGCTTTGAGAGAGCAACCAGATCCTGGTAACGGTCCTCCGAACCGTCAGTTCGTTCCCGATGCTGCTCGCTCCAAGGTTCTACAGTGGGTCCACAGTTCCCGGTTCTCCATCCATCCCGGAGTAAACCGCACACGCTCTCTTCTTAAGAGACACTTCTGGTGGCCAACTGTCAACAAGGACACTCAGGAGTTTGTTTCTTCCTGTCCCACGTGTGCTAGGAGTAAGTCCTCCCACCAAACACCTGCAGGATTGCTTCAGCCTCTACCCATCCCTAGTCGTCCCTGGTCACATATCGCCTTGGACTTTGTCACCGGTCTGCCTCCCTCCCAGGGTAACACCACAATTCTCACCATTGTTGATAGATTCTCTAAGTCTGCCCACTTTGTAGCTCTTCCTAAGCTCCCTTCAGCCTTGGAGACCTCCCAACTCCTCTCTGTACACGTTTTCCGGCTACATGGAATCCCTTCTGACATAGTTTCTGACCGCGGTCCTCAATTCACCTCTCGAGTGTGGAAGGAGTTCTGTCAATCCCTGGGAGCTTCTGTCAGTTTAACATCCGGATATCATCCCCAGTCAAACGGTCAGACTGAGCGAACCAACCAGGACCTGGAGTCAGCCCTCCGCTGCATCGTTGACCGTAACCCCTCTACCTGGAGCTCCCATCTTCCCTGGGTTGAGTACTCGCATAATTCCCTAACGTGTTCTGCTACTGGTCTCTCCCCGTTTGAGGCTTCTTTGGGGTACCAGCCGCCCCTGTTCCCTGAAGAGGAGAGAGAACTAGCAGTTCCCTCGGTCCAGCAGCATGTTCGTCGTTGTCAAAAGATCTGGAGAGACACTCGCTCTGCTCTCCTCCTGACTTCAGCTCGGAACCAACAGTCGGCCAATCGCCACAGACAAGCTGCTCCTCCTTACGTCCCAGGTCAGTCTGTCTGGTTATCTTCCAGGAACATTCCTCTCCTCACAGAATCGAAGAAGTTGTCTCCACGCTTCATTGGTCCCTTCTCCATTCAAAGGATTATTAACCCCTCTGCAGTCCGGCTGAAGCTTCCCAGAACATTGAGAGTCCATCCTACTTTTCATGTCTCCCAGATTAAGCCTGTTCACACCAGTGACTTGAGCCCTCCGGCCGTTCCCCCTCCTCCCCCCCGAGTCATTGATGACCATCCTGCCTACACAGTGCACCGTCTCATGGACGTCAGGCGCCGGGGCAGGGGCTTACAGTATTTGGTGGACTGGGAGGGTTACGGCCTCGAGGAGCGATGCTGGGTTCCTCGCTCCCGAGTCCTGGACCCTGTAATGATAAGGGCCTTTCACAGGGCTCATCCAGACAAGCCTGGTGGTCGCCAGGAGGCTCCCGTTGAGGGGGGGGTACTGTGAGGATCTGCAGTACTTCCTCCTTCTTTTCCACTTCTATGTTTGTTTGTCTTCCTGGCTGGGCGTGGCTGACCTACATTCTGATTCCCGCCAACTCATCTCCACTGCTGTTGTTCATCTCACTGATTGCCACTACTCACCTGCACCTGCTTAAAACCCTGGTTCCCATCCTCAGACTTCGCCAGTTCTTCGTTTATTCTTCAGTGATCTACACACACCTGCCGCTCTGCTTGCCACGTCCAGCCTCCGACTCCTCGTCTGAGTTCCCTCCGTGCTTCCGCGCACACCAGCTCATCCAGACTACATTCGCCAGCTCTGGATTCCCGGCTCTCCTCGGCGGTGTTTCCTCCGTGCCTCCACGCACACCAGCTCATCCTGTCTACATTCGCCAGCTCTGGATCTCCGGCTCTCCACGCCGGTGCTTCCTCCGTGCATCTCCGCACCTCCGTCTCCCCCTGAGCTATCCAGCTCCACGTCTGTCTTCTCTGAGCTCCTCTCTACACCTTGCCTGTGCCGTGGTCAAATAAAGACTATTGTTTGACACTTCACCACTGTCTCCGTCTAGTGTTTGCGTAGCGGGTTCTCATCTCCAGTCACTTCTCGGGAAGCGTAACACAATGTCCAGGCAGAAGATCCTTTCATCCGTTTATTGTAGTTTTCCAATCAAAGCAAAGAGAACTACTGCAACTACAATTATTACGATAATTAATGATTCATTTACTAAAACTAAAACAGTCAGAAAATAAATGTTTACTTAAAATAACATAAACCAATATTTAGCTCCAACTCTGAATGTAATGTTAGTTCAGTGAAGGCAGGATGTGCTTATCTAAACTCTGATTCATCTATTCTGCTTTATTAATGTCCTGCTCTTCATCTCTCTGCAGTGGGGAGGGCTCTTCATCTCTCTGCAGTGGGGAGGGGTCTTCATCTCTCTGCAGTGGGGAGGGGTCTTCATCTCTCTGCAGTGGGGAGTGGTCTTCATCTCTCTGCAGTGGGGAGGGGTCTTCACAGGGGCGGACTGGGACTACAAATCAGCCCGGGACTCTCGACCGGCCCACTTCGGTACTGCCGGCCCGCAAGTAAATACCGCGAGGAAATTGTCGACGGGGGGGGGGGGGGGGGTTGCTAGTGACTTATCCGACCGGCCCACATCGTCCGACCGGCCCACTTCAGTACCGGCCCATCGGGATTCGTCCCGAACGTCCCGATGGCCAGTCCGCCCCTGGCTCTTCATCTCTCTGCAGTGGGGAGGGGTCTTCATCTCTCTGCAGTGGGGAGGGCTCTTCATCTCTCTGCAGTGGGGAGGGCTCTTCATCTCTCTGCAGTGGGGAGGGGTGTTCAGGCCAAAGTCTGCGAACAGTCGCCTCGGCAGACGGGAAGTCATCAAACTTGACCTTAAAGTGGAGAAGTTTTTCTCCTTCGCAGAACTTCAGTTTCTCTCTCAGTCGGTCCGGATCGAACTCCAGCAGCTGAAACAGGAAGAGCTCAGATTCAGCAACATGGACCCCATCATTAACTACAACTCCCATGAGCCTCTGGGAACACGTCACTTAACAATAAATCATATTATTTATTTATGAATATTAGGACGGTCAAAGTCAATGTGTTAATAACTGAACTTTCACTTTTTCAACACGTGCACGCTTTCTGAACCTGAAAGATATCCCTTTAAAAACATTTAGAAACTACGGAAATCCCAATGAATACATTTCAATTACATATTTTAATCGATTGGAAGCCCTTTACATTGTCTGATATATATATACATATATATATGTGTATATATATATATATATATATGTATATATATATATATATATATATAGTTTTTCCACATTTGTATATTTCTATTTATACATTTATGTGACATTTTCTCCATTTAGTTAAAAAATTCTTCACATTGTGAAGAATTATGAAATGTTTCACATTAATTTCACGAAGTGTCATGAAATTAAAAATGTTCTTCACATTTCTCTGACTGTTATTTATCTTTAAAATTAGTTTTTCAGATGTTTTTGAAGGTTTTTCAAGTATTCTTTGTATATAAGATATGTTGTTTCTTTCTTTCCTTTTACACATTTTCTTCTCGACATGTTTCACATACTTTTTTTGGAATTTTTAAATATATTTTGTATTTCCTTAATAACATGGCCGTGGTGCTTCTGAGAAAAGGAGCTGAGATTAAACTCTGAAACGAGTCCTTGAAGAAGACGGACCAGATCCACTCTGATCAGTCCTACAAAGTTATCCTGGAAATATATAATTATATGAAATGTAGAGAAAAGCCTGACGCTGAGCTGTGGACAAGAAGACAAAGAGGAAGTGATCACCTTGTTCTCCACCACATGCAGAGCGATGCCCACATTATCCCAGACATAGTTCTCAAAAGGTCTGTAGCCAAGATCCTTCCTATTCACAGCCTCCATCTGCCGAGTCTCATCGTTCCGGGACAACACAAATCTGACAGAGAGACAGGAAGTCAATCCATAACTCATTTCCTTGTTGTCCCTCCCAGGTTACCTGTCATTGTTGTTTTCTCACCTGTGAGTTTCACACATGGCCTCAGGCCTCCAGATGAAGCGGCCATCTCTGTAGCAGCAGACAGCGTTTGGGTCGTCGCTCAGAAGAGGATATTCTGAGAACTGCTCCTGATTGGCCGGACTGTGGACCAGCACCACGTACATCACTTCCTGTTTGTACAGGTGGGTCTCATACACCCGCATGAGGGGCTGCTGACCGCCGCAAAACTGGAGAGAGAAGAAGAGCTTTTACACAGAATCACAGAATCACAGAATCACGTGGAAAAGTCGTTCAGGGTCCCATGTCATGGCCATTTCCACTGATCATAATTACATTGTTGAGGTATACTAAAATAGATTTATACTGTGCAATATTCCAAACTCACATTGGTTTCGCATACAGCATCTCTGTCAAGTATGTGTATTCAGCAGAGGTGGGACCAAGTCATTGTTTTGCAAGTCCGAGTCAAGTCTCAAGTCTTTGCGCTCAAGTCCAAGTCAAGTCTCAAGTCAGGATGGGAAAGTTCAAGTCAAGTCCAAGTCCTAAACTTTGACAAAACGAGTCTTAAACAAGTCATTATGTGCTTTTCAACAAATGTAATGACATCGATCAACAGAATAATACTTAATAATCAAACTGCTCTTTATTAGTCACATTAATCATTTAATAATCTTTTTTCTCTCTGCTGGTAAAGTAACGTGTTTTTTTCTATTGTAAGAGGGATCAGTAAGGTAAGGCTACCGTGACGGTTTGATTCAGAAGGAGTTTAATGTATAAGATCCCTGATGTTGAGGTTACCAGAATGTTTATTTCCACTGTGTACAACATGCTATAAGGGACCCACAATCTATCTTTATGCAAGGGATAATGTGCAGCGAGGCGTCTCTATGGGGAAGAGAACACCTGAATCTACATCCCTCTGCAGGTGGTACTTTAACTATATTTTGATGCTAATACTTTTGTACTTTTACTTGTAACATTTTGAATGCAGGACTTTTTATTGTAACCGAGTATTCCTACACTCTGGTACTTTTACTCAAGTACAAGATCTGAACTTCTCCCACCTCTGACAATAAATCCTGAGTGGTTACCAAAAAAAAACCCCTGCTCTGAAGGTTATTTTTATTTTACAAATCCTGCACTCAGCTTTGCTTTCTCCAATATCATTGAAATGCAGCCAGATGCTGCTTCTTTTTTCGGTTTTCGCTAATTTCTTGAGTTTTTCCGACGCGCTTGCATTTAAATCCGGCTCCCCGTCTCCCCGTGGCTCTGTAGCTGGCCTGTACCACTACACCTGCTGTCTTTGGAGCGTCTGCCCCCCACCCTTCTTTCACATAATGGTATGATCCTAGTGTGTCCTCGCATATGATTGGCCGCGTGGTGGCTCAGCAAAATAAAGTCCCGCCCCTGCCTGCATGGATTCTCAGCAAGAGTTGCAGCGGCTGAAGATTCTGCTCTCCCCGACGGGAGTCTGCTCTTCTAGCGGCATCTCGCGATCGGCGTGTTGGAGACCTCTGAATTAAATTATCAAGTCACCTCAAGTCAGAAGGCTCAAGTCCAAGTCAAGTCCCGAGTCATGAGTGTTCAAGTCCAAGTCGAGTCGCAAGTGTTTTGTGATTTTGTCAAGTCGAGTCCAAAGTCATCAAATTGGTGACTCGAGTCTGAATCGAGTCCAAGTCATGTGACACCTCTGGTATTCAGCAGTATTCACTCTCTCCACTAAACGACTCGTTGGAGCTCTTGCCCCCCCCTCCCTGTGAGCCCAGTGTGCTCTGATTGGTCAGCTCGGCCACTCTGTTCTGATTAGTCACCCACCAGAGAGGCTCCGCCCATGTCTAACACAGTGTTTTTTCGGCTCTGAGCGGAGCATCAATTTTTGTATAAGCTAACCTACGTTTGATAGTTGTTCAGTGTAATATGCCAACCTACTATGAACAAAAGCTAGTGGTTAATATTAGGCTAGCAATAACATGTTTACAATTGCAATCTTATACGGTAGTCTGCTACGTGTCGGTCATTCATTGTAGCTTGCATAAAAACAATGTTTTTCCTAGCATGTCTAGCTATAGGTAGCCTTGTTGTTTAGCTTTGTAGCATACATGCTAGGAAAGCCAACTATAATGTAATTAAGTTTTGCGACTGACCGTACGGTAGATCACCCGGAGTATACTGTCTATGAGTATTCCGTGTGTGAATGCAGACATTCTCCTGCTATGAGAAACATGTAAGGCCATCTGCTGACATTGTAGTTGATATATGTAAACGCTAGCAACTTCGTTAGCCCAGTTAGCACTGTGTCAATGGCTTGTTCTGTGTAATAAAACCACTATGAACAAAAGCTAGTGGTTCATATTAGGCTAGGAAGAACGTGTTTACAATTGCAATCTTATACGGGTAGTCTGCTACGTTCGGTCATTCATTGTAGCTGGCATGAAAACAATGTTTTCCTTAGCATGTCTAGCTCTTGGTAGCGTCATTGTTTATCTCGGTAGCATACACGCTATGAACGGTAGCTCGGTTAGGAACGCCAACTATAATGTACTCACCGTACGGTAAATCACCAGGAGTATACTGTCTATGAGTATTCCGTGTGTGAATGCAGACATTCTCCTGCTATGAGAAACATGTAAGGCCATCTGCTGACATTGTAGTTGATATATGTAAACGCTAGCAACTTCGTTAGCACTGTTTTGAACTGAACCTGAGATTCCAACAGTATATATGCTTGGCTGGCAGAGGGTGCGTCATAGCTCTGGGCGTGGCTACTGGGTATCCAGACGTCACGATGCCCAGGAAGAACATAAGAAATGTCCAACGAGACGTTCTGGGGCAGCATAGACAGGTCTTTTCTGTGTTAGAGTTTTACTCGCTACAGGGTGTACTTTGAGGGTTTGTGACTTTGCAAACCGTGCACATGCAGAAGCTACAGAACACATGGGGACGGGTAATAATCGGAAAAGCATGACATGGGACCTTTAACAGTTTGAGGGGCACACAGGCCATGGTGGCCGTAGGACGTACAATTATTTGTGGGGCCATGGCCGTTATGGCCACCGTGAAAATCCCACCCTGATTATGAGTCCTGAACCCTGACATGAGTCAGCATTATGAGTCCTAAACCTTGACATGAGTCAGCATTATGAGTCCTAAACCCTGACATGAGTCAGCATTATGAGTCCTAAACCCTGACATGAGTCAGCATTATGAGTCCTGAACCCTGACATGAGTCAGCATTATGAGTCCTGAACCCTGACATGAGTCAGCATTATGAGTCCTAAACCCTGACATGAGTCAGCATTACGAGTCCTAAACCTTGACATGAGTCAGCATTATGAGTCCTGAACCCTGACATGAGTCAGCATTATGAGCCTTAAACCCTGACATGAGTCAGCATTATGAGTCCTGAACCCTGACATGAGTCAGCATTATGAGCCTTAAACCCTGACATGAGTCAGCATTATGAGTCCTGAACCCTGACACGAGTCAGCATTATGAGTCCTAAACCCTGACATGAGTCAGCATTATGAGTCTTAAACCCTGACCTCAGTACCTGCAGACTGTAGGCCTCCAGCAGCTCCTGAAGGGGGAAGGTGAAGCGGTACGATCCCAGCCTGGAGCTCTTCTTGAAGGCCGGTGAGGAGGCAAACTCCCCCAGGAAGCTCTGCTGATCCTGGACCTGCTGCTCTGTTCGGTCCGGGTATGTTTCCTGGAGGAGGCGCTGCTCAGCTGATCTGAGTTCCTCCCTCCCCACCGACAGACCCCACCACACCAGGACTTTTCCAGTCGGGTTCTTGAAGCCTCCGGACTCCATGATGCCTTCCAAACCCAGTCCGTCGGTGTCGTGCTTCAGATGGCTCACATGGATCTCTGGTCGTGGGTATTTTGGGATTTTGTGATCATTAAAGAGGTAATTGTTTCCTGAGCCCTTTCTCTTTCTCAAATCGTCCAG